GAGATACCATTTCTCACCCATCAGATTGGCAAAAACTCAAAAGCTTGACAATATATTGAAGTTTTTGGGGAAACAGAAAGTCTCATACATTCCTGGTAGAATGTAATTACCACAACCTTCATGGAGAAGAATTTGGCAATATGTAATACTAGTACAGATGCATGTCTTCTGACTTAGTAATCCCATTTCTGGGAATCTACTCCGAAGGTATACTTCAAACAAAACAATATTTAAGATCATTCGCTGTAACATTATCTGTAATTTTGCAAAACACTGAACTACGTAATGCCCAAGCATAGCAGATTGACTGAATAAACTATGTACATCCACACAGTGGAATGCTAGGCCACAAGGGGTTAGGGGACAGGGGGTTGTGGGGGGGAATCTCTATGAACTTAAATACTTAAATACAGTGACTTCTGGAGATGCTAAGTGAAAAAAGCAAAGTCCATCAGAGCGTTATGTGAAATACCTAATAAGCACATGAGAAGATGCTCAACTTTGTCATAATTTAAACCACAAAATACCACTTTGTATCTCGAAGAATGTTTATATAAAAAAAAGTCATTAACACGTTAGAGAGGATATGGAGAAATGGGAACCCTCATATATTGCTAGTGGGAATGTAAAGTGGCATAGTCACTTGGAAAACAGTATGATAGTTTCTTAAAAAAATTAATCACACAACCCAACAATTCCACTCTTACGTATTTACCCAAAAGAAATGAAAACCCATGTCCACAGAAAGACTTGCACATCAATGATCCTAGCAGCATTATGCAGCAGGGCCGAAGAGGAAGCAATTCAAATGTCTATTAACATTAAATGAGTAAAAAAACAGGAGTTCATATAATGGAATAGTATTTAGCAATAAGAATAGTGATAGAAATGCTGATACATGCAATGACATGGATGAACATAAGAACATTATACTAAGTAAAAGAAGCCAGACTCAAAGATAATATTGTATGAATCTATTTATATGAAATGTCTAGAAAAGGAAAGTCTATAGAGACAGAAGTAACTAGTGGTTGCCTGGCACGGGGAGGAGGCAGGGTGTAGTGGGAACACACATTAATCGTAACCAGGCGTGAGCAAGTTTACTGGAATGATGAAAATGTTCTAAAACTGCGTATTGGTCAGGTCAAACAATTCTTTAAAATAAGTGAATTTTGTCAAGTTATACTTCAGTAAAGTTATTTTAAGGATATATATGTGAATTTTACAATATGCACAATATGCATCAAGTTGTTTTTAGAAAGCAAATGGAGTGGCTGGCCCTCCCAGTTTTAGCACTGAAAGTCCCGTATACTGAGAAACTTCAGTCCTGGACAAAAGGGTTGATCTCTCTATATGTATGCTACCTTTACTCTAAGAAAGGGAACGAGGAGAAGAAAAAAAAAAAAAAAACCTTTATTACTTTTCTTCATAAAAGGAAACATGGTGGGGAAACAGTGAAGTTGGGTATGTTTGAAGAAATGGGGCAGAAGGGATATAAGAGAGTAACACTTCTCAGTAAACAGTAAACCTTTGGTATAGTTACAACTTTTAGAAATATGTTAGTATTCCATGTATTTTAAAAATGTAATCAACAAGGATGTGAAGTGTGTGTGTAGGGGGGGGACCTTAAACTTGGAAAAAAACTGAAACCAATGAATCCAATTTATTTCAAATAAATAACATAATCACAGTGAGAGAAAAAAGAATTAACCCAAATAATTTATGAACACAGAATGTAATTATATATCCTTATTGGGCAGAGTACAGGTAGGGAGAGAACTGCAAACAAGCTTTTAAGTGTTTTTTACAGTGACATGGGCAAAAGCAATTCTAAGAACTGTTTTAGATGTACTACAGGACTGACCAAGTGAATAAATTCACTTGTGCCAAAATTCTGAAAAAGCAGAGACAGAAATACGGAACGGGGAAGTCAAGAAAAGACCCCTGAGGATGGAATGAAACGGAGGTATTAGTGTGAACTCATGATTTCTGAAATCAAACACAGTGTGTATATAAGCACGTATAAACTGTACATGGCACGTGCATATTTATGTTTACGGATGTACATGCACACTTCCTAATTCTGTCTGAATAGGCCTAGAAGCAGATGACACCCAGCAACCAGATCTATGTGTCTAATAATATTCTGCAGGGTTTCGTAGAGAAATTGCCGATTCCTGATCCTAGAACATCTTTTATTTAAGAGAATGTGCTAAATAAATAAATAAATAAAAACGGACGCCACAAGGACACAGTAGCCAGACTGAAGGAGCTCCTTCCTACTGAGCAAATAAATTTAAGACAATTTAAGCACCAAAGTAATGAATTATAAGCCACTGAAAAAACAGACAACTAAGAATCCAAAACAATAGTAAATATAAAACTGTACGCACACCTGTATAGATGAACGAATGGATAGCTGGGGCAGAAAGGGTTCCCGCTGACAGCAGAATGCTGAGTGCCAAATGGGAGATGAGGACAGAACACTGGACTCAGAAAAATCAGTATTTTTCAACTAGCAAAGAATGATAAGCAAAAATCACCAAAGGCTGCTAAATCCTGGTGGAAAATTTTGACGTTATAGCATGGGCTGAAGAGTCTCCTTCAGATTGTTTATTAAACACAAGGTAGGGCGCCCGGGTGGCTCCGTGGGTTAAGCCGCTGCCTTCGGCTCAGGTCATGATCTCAGAGTTCTGGGATCGAGTCCCGCATCGGGCTCTCTGCTCGGCAGGGAGCCTGCTTCCTCCTCTCTCTCTCTCTCTCTCTGTGCCTACTTGTGATCTCTCTCTGTCAAATAAGTAAAAAATCTTAAAAAAAAAAAAAAAAACCCACAAGGTAAAAAACAGTGACTATACAGTGGAGAAACTGAAAAAAAAACACCTTGACCAGGTGACCAAAATTACTATCCCCAATGAGGAGCAGACGGACACTCTGTGCCTCCAGATGTGATGCTCTGATGACACTGCTGGGAGTGTTCTGAGAATGAATAAGCTGAATCTAATGCAGAAACCCCAAATGAGGAACATTCTATGGGGGGGGGGGGGGGCAAAAGACTGCATTCTCCAAAAACATGTTGTATCAATGCCATAAAAGACAAAGGGGGCATGGAAATGATCCCCAGTGGAGGGGACTTAAGGGCAAATGAACAACCAAAAGATAAAAACAAAAATGGTAAGGTTTAAGCAATAGGGGAATCTGGGTAAAAGATATATTGATGTTCTTTGTATTATTCTTGCCAATTTTCAGTAAATTTTAAAACATTTCCATATAGAAAGTTTAAAAAAAAAAAATTAGGAACTGATACCAGATTGTGAACCTCATGTTTTGCTAACAACGTTATTAAACTACAATCATTAAAAAAAACAACAACTACCATCGACTATTATATCATTTGGTTTTAAAAAGTGTGAAGAGGGGCATTTTAAATATCCAAAACATAGTAGTCATACCCAAAAAAAGAATGGTCCTTTAAAATGCATATATTTATATTTAAGAAAAAACATCACACTGTCATATTTTTCTCATTTCCCCGTGGACAAGGGGAGCTTTGTGAGTGTGGTGTTAAGGAATTAGAATTCTAAACAACATGTTTTCAGCAATGGATGAAGTACAGATCAATGGAAAGAGCATGAAGGCAAGCATGTAATTCAAATCCTGGTGCGGGAAGTTACCAGCTTTGTAACCTAAGTTCCCTTAGCCAGTTTCCTCACTTGCAAGGCAGATCGTTTAATCATGGGACTGTTAAGAGAATTAAATTGAATAAATGTATCTAGAATAGCACTTGACACAGAGAAGGGTGCTCAACAAATGTCTCCTCCTCTTCCTTTTCCTTCTGTTCTCTGGAGATGACTAGGGCCATATTCGCCTTTTCCTCATTGATCCAAACGTGGCCCCATTAGGCTTATGTTAAAAAACAGCATTTTCCTGAGGACCTCCCTTCTGAGTAAACTTTCTGGTAAACTTCATGAAAATGGAAGCCAGAGATATTGGACAGTGAAATGGAAAGATAGACGGCTTATAAAAACAGATGACTTGGGGAATGGCTGGTTAACTGATGAGTTCTGTTAAAGAGGTCAAGACAATTGGAGGGAAGATAATATTAGTATGTATTAGAAAAGTTTGCTGCTCAAAAAAGATAAAACAGTACTTTTTCTTCATATAGTCACAAGTCTATTTTGCAAACAACCATCTAATGCCAAGAATGAATAATTTATATAAAAATAAACTGTATTAAAATCACCAATTGCATTTGTTTTACCAGCTATGTATTTTTGGAAAAAAAATCAATTCAATAAAATGTCCATACATGAGATTGGAGGAGATTGGATGAGATTTCATCCTATTGTCTATTGGGTTATTTTTTGCTTCCTTTCATATATTTTCTGTTCATATCTAATAGGATGATTTCCTTTTATACTGCCAATGATAGTAATTCTTTAAAAATCTATTTTTAAAAATAAAGAAAAAAATTTAAAAAAAACTAAATTGCATTATAGGAAAGAAATTTATATTGCCAAACAGAAATTTAGTTTTAACACTTAAAATCTTTATAGAAGATAAACAAATCCTGATTTTCCCTTTATTTTATCATAATTGAAAAATGAAATCACTTAACATGGTCACTTGATACATAATTTCCTTAAAACTTCTCTCTGGTGAAACAAAGCTCTATATACTTAAAGAGTGTGTATAACATTTATAACACCCATGACAATTTCAAACCAACTAGCATTGGTATAGCTTCAAATTACTATTAGTTGTGGCTACTTTTGGAAAAAGGGTACAAAGCTTATTGGGGCCCAGCACACCAGAAAAATTTAATTTTAGACTGTCATAGAGTTCAAGAAGTGACATTATAGTGTGAAGACACTATAAACAGCCATTTCTTTCTCATAAGTCTCTTAAAACAGGCTGCAAAAATATTCAGTACCTCATATATATTAACTAACAAAAATATTTCCATTCATTACCTTTGCCCAGAGTGATTAAGGACCAAAAAATAGAATTCTTGTTGCTTTATTATCTGATAAACTGCTAGTAAGCTCCCGTTAGAAGTTCTTTAGACATTACACCAAGTCATCTTGGTCTTCTGATCATATATATATATTCATATATATATATTTATATATATATATATGTATTTTTTCAAGTAAAGAAATGTTTAACAGATGTAAACTATTTATTGAATATTTGCCACCAAATATTGTTAAATACATTATCTTGCAGCATATCGCTTTCAAGTTAAAATGTCAAACAAACACCAATATTTACAATTCTTTTAAGGAATGTTATATAATGACACATTAAGGCGTAAATTCTTTTGGCTTATAATTCTTAAAAGAATGATAATAGCAAAAGTGATGCAAAATCTTCAGTGTGAGATTATGATTAAGCTACATTTTACAAAAATATGGTGTAAGATGGCAATAATCCCATTCAACATCCTGGATTAGATCCCTTCAGGAGGGACTGATAATTTATACAGTCAAACTTTAAAATTTACAGATAAAGGCAGTCCAATACTGCCACTGAGAAGTACATCTCTTAACATATACAACTTTCAGGCCACAGTTTTGAAGGTCTGAAGTATCAAGTTGGTTTGATGAATTAGTCGATTGGCACTGATGAACACATTTATTGCCCTGTTTAAAAAAAAAAAAAAAGCATTAATTTTATCCAAAAAATTCATCCTTTAAAAACATTTATACTTGATGCCATCCACTAACAGTAACAATGAAATCAATTTAGAGGGAGGGGAAAAGGCAAGTTAGTACTGAGGATCATGTTTTATACCAGCTTGGAACTGAATGGTCCTGCATCATTTGAAACTATCTAGGAATTACTGCCCCCTAGTGGTTCTGGCTGGCAATAAGGTGTTGATGGGCTGCTAATAATAGGTGGCGCCTCAACAACCAGATTTCATGAGGTTGAACAAGTAACTGGCCAAAGAGAGGATTTAAATGTAGTCTCTAGCAGACTTCAATGTAAGTTACCAAAATAGTATCTGCTCCAGTATTATACTCAGCCTCAAAATCTCTACATTAGTGGACAACAAATACTTAAGAAAAACTTAACTACTTTTTTGTAAAAGTTACTTTACATTTGATTTACTCCAATCTCTTAACTTCTTTCAAAAACAAAAAACTATGAGAATTCTAAACTACTTTCAGAATAAATCTACTTTTAAAACAAAATAATCGTGTAATTTCAATATTTAAGAGCTAACAATATATAAAAATATGTTCTTAAAAATTACTTTGTGCTACACACATTTTTCCTATCAGCCCATCTTCATGTGACTGGAATAAAGAACTGATGCCCTAGTCCCACTGTGTGGTCTAATCAGTTTCTCAGTATCATAGCTAAAACTTCTTTATTCATCCTAGACACTTCTCAGAAAAGAGGGACCAGAGAGAATTAGCTGTACCTATGCAAATTCATCCCCTTATTGGAAGAGGGCTCAAAGAATAGACTCTATTAACAGTTATCAGTTTCAAGAAAACAGGTACAAAACTAAATCCAAAATAATGGCACATTATTCATATACAAATAATTATCAAGAAGCTAGTGAATGGAGAAAAAGTAGTAACCAGGAGCCGGAATAATCCTTATGTAGAATACATAACTTCAGATTAATGAAAATTAGGCTCTAAAGGAATTTCTACCTTTCAATGTGCTTATTTCATGATAATTCTTAATTAGAATCAGAAATAATGATCCCATCATGTAAATTATTCTTTTGATGTGTTTTGGTTATTCTGGTTTAGCAGTGGAGACCAAGAAAAAAACAGATGTAAGTTTATTTTCAAAACACACCTGCAAGCTTATTAAACTAAGCCATCAAGGAGCATTTCCCCTAGATATCAGAAGAGTAACAAAACCACTAATAAAATGTAGTTCAATGCCTTTAATTCATAATAAAAATGTAAAGATTTCAGCCTATTTGAACTGTTAAAAAAAATTAACAGAATCTTCTAATGTATTTTTATTATTTTTAAATATTATTATCACAATATTGTAATGTTTGACATGGATGTAAGAATCCTTAAACTTCAATGGTAGGATAAAATGTTCGATGTCCCTGCCAATGATACATGAAATAATCATTATTTAGGTTGTTTTTATGATTTTAAGCACTGTCAGAAAATGGTCTTGTCCACAGATTTCTAGTATTCTACCTTATAAAAAAACTCTCTATAAGGCAAAATGCTATAGAAGACATGGCCTCTCTACCAGCTTATATATTTATGTACATGTGTAAAATGTATATGTAAAAACACAATTTTTTTGGTTTTCTGGAGTGTTCTATAGATAACTGTATGTAAACCTAAAAACATCCAATTTACCTTTATATATACTACTTATCTTATAGAACAGTGAAAGTCTCTATCCTTCTGAAAAACGGGTCACAACCTCTGTAGTACTTTTAAATCACCTGAACACTTTCTATAAAAGACTTAAACCCTAGTCCCACTCCAAACCACCTGAATCAGACCTCTGAAGTTGGGACCAAGGCACTGGAATTTTAAAAAACTGAATCAAAGTGATTCTAATGTGCAAATGGGACTGACAACCATTGCTTTCTTTAACTTTAGTTCTCAACACACCTGGCAGTATTAGTACTATCTGGAAACTTCTTAGAAATGCAAATTCCTTGGGCACCTGGGTGGTTCAGTCGGTTGTGTACTGGACTCCTGATTTTGGCTCAGATCATGATCTCAGGGTCATGAGATCTAGCCCCAAGTCTGGCTCCACAGGCAGTCTGCATGAGATTCTTTCCCTCTGCCCCTCCCCCAGTTTATGTGCTCTCCCTCCCTCTCTCTTAAACTGAAGAAAAAAAAAAAAAAAGAGAGAGAGAGAAAGAAATGCAAATTCTTGGGTCCACCCTAGATTTGAGAAGGAAAGAGGGGCTCCAAAAGCAATTATATGTACATGTGTAAAATGTGTATTTTATTCTGTAATAAGCCCTCCAGGTAATTCTGATGCACCTAAAGTTTGAGAACCACAGTTTCAGGTCTGTAGGCCAGTAAGCCAAATCTTACTTCCCATGTTTCTGTACAGCCTACAGATAAGAATACTTTTACATTTTTAAATGACAAAAAAAAAAAAAAAAAGTGTTTTGTAACAGGTGAAAATCAAACAAAATTCAAATTTCAGTGTCTATAAATAAAGTTTTATTAGAACACAGCCATAATGTCACTTGTTTCCAAACTATGACTGCTTCTGCACCACAAGAGCAGAGGGGAAGTCGGTAGTTCTTACAAGCCCACCAAATCAAAATATTTGCCATGAGGTCTATTTCAGAACAAGTCTGCCAACTTCTGCTCTAGACAAGTTATGGCTAGATTATCAACCAACCGTCTTAGTTATTAGTTAACTTGAGTATGAACAATATAGTAAAAGGGCTTAATTTATATGGTTTTAGTATTATATAAAACCACATAATTTAATTTAAAATAAAAAAGGATGATAAATGACACTACTTACTTGCCATCTTTAAAATAGGTTTTCAGAGTATCACTGAAACTTTTGGAGTACTTTACAAATTCTTTCTTTTGGTGTTCAAGTGCCTACAGACATCAGAGTAAGAAAACAAACACTAAATAAGAAAATAATAAAAGCCAAAATCAAAGACAAGAGGTTACACAGAATATAGGATGGGCTTTGTATTACAAATTACAATTTTTAGAAGTATTTACTTAAACACATTTTAATTCAAAGACAAAAGCAGTGGTTAATGATACAAAACTATTTTCAATAATCAAACCATCTTAGTATTGAATTCAATACAACTACTAAGTGTAAATCAACATCTAGCTGGCAGCTTATACAAGGCTTCTAAAAAACTTACCCTGCGGTTCTGGTATTGATACTTCTTGAAGACATTATTCACCGTGTCAAGAAGTTCTTTTATTGCACTAGCTATATCCCTGTTGGATAAGGAAAAAAGAATCTTCTTAAAATCAGTTGTATTTGGAAGAGGGGTATGTATTTTATATATATATATATTCCCCACCCCCAGGATTACTAATCACACTGTTAATTACCAAACTAACACAGCATCAAGCCCAAACATCTGACTAGTTGGCTGGATGGAGTTTTAGCCTGTACCCTTTTGGGATCCTGACTTCTCTTGCACTGCTGACCAAAAGTTCTGCAACTAATTTCAACCTTCCCAAACCAGTAACATTTCATTCAGCATTACTTACTCAAATTTATAAGAATTACCTCTGCTTCTCACCTTTTCCAGATATTTTTCCTTTCTCTGATGTAGCTGACTTCAAGCTACTATATTCTCTATATTTGCTATCTCATTAACAATTATATAAAATTTTACTATTACATGTAACTCACTTCTGTATTTATCACCACTTCCAGTTACATAGTTTTGACGTTTAAAAAGAAATATTTCCTTTTCAGACATCGCTCTTCCAAGATACATCCACCTTCTAACAACTGCTTATACCCCTCTTCCAAAAACTCTGCTGTTGTTACTTCCTTTGGAAAATATATTTAAATTCCTGAGAAAGGAAATATCAGAATATTTTTCTACCTTAACCATTTCAGCAATCATCCTTGGACTACATATGTATCAACACCTTCCTCCCCTTTTAAGCAGATAAGAGAAGAAACCAGTAATTCTCATGAGTTGACTGTTCTCCCTATCCATTTTTTTTTTTCTAAACTCCTCTTGTCTTTTTATCTATGCTCTTTTCAATTTTCATCTTCTAACTGCACAGCAACTTTTATTGGTCAAACTGAACTTAAACTTCTGCTGCGTAAATGCAATTCAAGAGTGAAGATATGAATTATTAAGACATAAAACTAGACCATCCCAAACATCATCTTTCATTACTTTTTAATCACAAAGGTCAGATTTCAGTTATTTCATATCTGAAACATTTCAGCTTTACTAAAGAAAAAACCCAAAAAGCTCTGTATCCAAATTTCTGTGTGTATGTGTGTGTTTCACAGTATATTTCTAGTAAATATGCATGTGGGATGTCTACGTATTACAAGTATACAGGATTTGGGTATTAAGAAATTTTTAGCCTATTCTGAAATAGTAATCACATTTGTATTAAATATTTTAATAAATAATTACTTATTACCTCCTGTAGGTCAAACACTGATATCAGGCTGAACATTAAAAGATTTAAATAAGACAATGAATATTACATAGAAGTGGTATTTGTCCACTCATTTTTTTTCTCTTTTTGTCTCTAGTTTAGGAATAGCAGTTTTAACTTACATAATTCTTCCTTTCATTTATGGTTTCAAGTAAGTTGGCTCCTGTATTGCTATGATTTGCATAAATTCACCATTGCTTAATAAAATGATGTCGTAAGACCATGACATGAGAAAAGTAACAATTTCAACAATTAAGTATTTGGAAGGTACTTCAAATCCAAAATGAACCCATTTAAAGCAGAATATAATGGAGCAAACTACAGTGTTCAGTGAGGTGTTTATATACAACTACTTTGTAGAATACTATTCTGCTTTAAAAAAGGATTATAAAAATATGCTTCAGGGCTAATAGACAAGATGAACATGTATCCATATACAATAATGGCTAGAATCCATAGGTCAAAAGAGTAGGAATTCTCACTCACCTATAAAGGAAAAAAAAAAAAAAAAAAAAGCAAGGGTTTTCTAAATGGTACCCAGACTTACTATGAGTATTGGGAATCTGTCTGCACCTTAAAAACAAAACAAAAACAAAAAACAAAACTTAAAAAATAAGCCCCCAGGTGATTTTGCTGATGAACCAAATTTGGAAACCCGTGTTTGTGATCCTAGAGCCTAGAACTAAGGTTTGATCTATTATTGGCCATAGAGCTTTACAAAGAACTCTACAGAATGACCCAGGCTGTTTATCCCAAGGCCTGGCCTTCTCTAAAAACACTCTGTGGCAATTTATATCAGATACTACATCATCTGTATGTACACAGAACAGTATTTTCACTTAAGGTGCTAGGTTCTGTAGCAGGGAAGCTAAATTATATTAGTAAGTAAGGGTTTGTTTCCTACAAGAGAAAATAATCAGCTCTAAAAAATACTGCAGACAATTAAACAGATCAAGAATTGGAGAAAACCTGAAGGTAAAATAACTATAGGGTAATTATAAACAGTATGGAGTTAAGTGATTCTGTGACAAGGGACAGACAGTAGGGGTATAGCAGGACCAAATTTTAGCAATTTCCAGCTTTTATGCTGCAACTTTGGGGAAACATACATTCAAAAGAGAAGATGACAGGCATCAGAGGAAATGTAAACATCCATTTTATCCAAAAATTGCAATAGTAGACTTTCTAATCATGTAACCCAAATTTATATAACATGTATTTATGTGAACATTCTAAAGGAAGAAAAGTCCTATGCTGTGTGTTTAGTTAGGTTTAGACTGGACATCTCTATAAGAGCTTCTCTGAAGCCATCAGGAAAACCAAACTCTGGTGAATTTTAGAGCATAAATATGCAAATACATACTGTAAACAGTGATAAATGCATGGCTTTCCGGTTTATTAATTCACAAGTCTCTACTAGTCATCCATTAGAATGTATAAGACCCAAAAAACCCTATAAATTAAATTTATGTATGTCCTTTCTCAGTTCTTAAAACTGTTACTTTCATCTTTATAAGCAGAAACTAGAATAACAGAAGCTAAGCAACTTACCCAAGATCACACAGCTAAATGTGGGAATGGAAATTCAAACCTAGGTCTGCTAACATACACAAAAATACCTAGATATTTGTTACCTGACAGGAATCTTTTTTCTCCTCAATATAATCTATGAAATCACATACAGTACTTGGGATAATAAGTATTTGATACATGTTTCTTGAAAAATACTGCTATAAAGTAAATGAAGACAATAACTACCTTATATATGAAAAAATAAAATATTTTAAGTTTTTTTTTTTTTTTTTTTGACAGAGATCACAAGTAGGCAGAGAGGCAGGCAGAGAGATGGGGAGAGCCCCTACTGAGCAGAGAGCCCGATGCGGGGCTCGATCCCAGGAACCTGGGATCATAACCTGAGCTGAAGGCAGAGGCTTTAACCCCACTGAGCCACACAGGCACCCTGAAAAGGTAAAATATTTTAAAGAAAAAACAGTAACTACACAGTACATTGTGCCTGAAGGATAAGTCATTTTTTATTTTGGTGCAATTTTATCTACTAATTTGTTAAACAATTAACCATGGGGACAAGATGTAGCAAAATATATCCGTATATATTAGTGATACAAATAATTACACCTTACCTATCTATGTTAATTTACACATGGTCTCATAAATATATATTATCAACAAACTTTCCAGGGCCAATTATACCTCCTAAAATGATTAAGAAATAAACTTTAACTGCCAATACTCTCAACTCAGTTGTGCAGCGTGCACTCCAGAAAACAGAACTGAAATATTCCTACTGCCCCATAAATGAGAGACAAGCCCCTAATTTGGCCTCTGTCAATGACTATGGACAAGACTCTTGGCCTCCTGACCTCAACTTCCTTATGATTAAAATGTGGCTGTTTATACAGTGTTTTTCAAATGTTATCTCTCTAAAGCCACAATGGGTTTAACAGAGATGCCTTGGGGACTCCCCCAGAGGGGTAGGATGGTTAAAGGAGCAGGATGAGGGCTTTGGGCCTACCATATCTAGCCTAGCTTCAACCATAGCACTCTTCTCTCTCTTACCTACTGGCATTCTATATTAAGATATCCTTTATCACACATCTTCCAGATAGCTGAAACTTTCTTTAATCGCTAAGTCAGACCAGCATTATTCATCTCAGAGTGGGAAGCAGCAGAGAAGACCACGGAGTGAGTCTGCCTGGGTTTGAACCCAGATCTACCAACTTACCAGCTCTGTGACCTTGGAAAAGTTACTTAATTTCTTCACCAGTTATAGCAGTGTTATATAATCCATTAATATATGTAAAATGTTTAAAAAAGCAATGAGAACATAATTCTAGTAAGTGACTGCTATTAAGATGACATTGATTCAATAAACCTTTCCTTCATGTCCTGAGACAAAATTTGCTGAAAATATTATTTTTTAAATGTCAGATCTTCACAGAAATCTAGCATAGATCATAAACAAATATATGATCATCAAAACAAAATCTTATTATTTGAAAATTCTAAAAATAAGTTGTTTAAACAACTATGCTTCAGATAACTGGCAATTTATCCTTTTATGAGCTAAACATGTTTACTTTATATCAGACTAAAAATAAAAATCCATAAACAGTTGACTATCTTCCTTTTTCCAATATTAAAAATAGTTAAAGGAAGTTGAGGCTTTCCTATAAGGGTAAAATATTTACCTCAGGATTTGTTCTCTGTGACATGAATTTTAGCTAGGCAATGAAAAAAGTCTTTTTCGTACTTTCAGGTTCTCAATCAGAAGACCTAAAAGAGGAGGGTTGCTCCTTAATAGCTGGGTTGCATACCCATCACAAACTATTGCTTCCTAAAGTGAGATTGTCTGCCCCCTATACCACTCAAAACAGGTGCCCAAACTAGCTAAAATAGCATTTTGCAATGTGAATTACGAAAAATACTGTTTCTAGGAGATGGATGTTAATATTTACTATAAGTGAACTTCTTTCCATTCTTTAAAGATATGAAGTATGATGATGCAGCCTCTTTCAAAAACAACAACAACAAAACCTGTGCTAAATCTTTCAATTTCTACTTGTGCAAAAGGCTGCACTGCTAGTGCCACTCAATTATTCACAATTTTCTTCATATTATACCCAGTGAGGCTGAAGAAAATTGAGACTCTTTACTCATCCAAAAATTACGTATGGATTTCCCCCCTCAGTCTCCTACCCTCTTTAACCTGAGGAGACTGCCCCTGATTTGAGAACCACCGCTTAAGGATGACCCTTCTTGCGGCTCCTCACCAGTCAGCCTCCTAGTCCCACGCGTATTTTCGGTCTTATTTAACCTGTATCTCAAAGGTTTAGGATTTGGAGATTTACAATTTGGCTAATACTTAAAAATGCTATTCAAGCCTAAGAGTACATTACTTATTCTAATGACTTATGTCATTTCTGAAACAAAAACAATACTGGTATCCTGTTACCAATACTATAAATTTTTTTGCATTAGTTTTTAGTTCAAACTATATTCCAATTTTTATACATTTCATTCACTGTTTTTATATTAACATTCTAAGAAATGTTATCATACTCTAAAGCCAAATACCACAGCTTAGAAGTTAGTATCAACATATAGCACGTAAAAATTTCAAGTCTGATTTCAAATTAATATTTTAATTTAATATTAATGTCATACCAAAATAAAACACCTAGCATGAGCGGTTCCTTTGAAGTACTTTCAAGAAAAGAAGAACCAAAGCCAAAAGTTGCTTACTTGATTGTCTGCAGAAACCTCACTCTGTCATTGATCTCATCTGGGATCTTACTGAGAATCTGTTTAAGTGCTCGTGCCTTTTCATTTAGGTCCTGGAATTCTGGCTCTGGTCGTTCAATCATATACTCTGATAAGATAAATACATAATAAAAACCATCATGCAACTCCCTGCCAAATTCAAGTCTACAAATTCCCAATGCTGGTTAAAGAGGTGGAGGGAGGAGAGGAAGGGAAAGGAAAGGAAAGACAAGGCTGCAAGGCAGAATTCATTAAAGTTCAACTTAGCTCAGAAAAAGTATTATGGCTCTCCCCAAGTAAAAGTATCAGAAGATGAAAGACTAAACATTTCCAATTTGGAATAAATGAAAATTCCATGAAATCTTAAACAAATAAATAAAAGATAGGCTAAATCAAATTTATCAGGCCTCTGAAGCTGTATTTCACAAGGAAACCTTGAAGTAATAACATTCATAACAAATATAATGACAATATGTATTGTATATATGTATCAAGGGGGAAGAGTTTAATAAAAACCTCTATACTGAATATGTAATGGGCTCATGATATCAAAACCCAACCTACTAATATCTTCTGCACATTCTTGAAATCTCACTTGAAAACAAAAATAACTTATACAGCTCTTTCCTCCATTATCATCACAATAATAACAGTAACAGTAAGAAAGGGGAGGAGAGGGGAAGGGCAGAAGACCCATTTGTCCAATAAATACTTGGAGGAAGTGCTTTTCAACAGCCGTAAGAAAACTGTAGGAGACTGACTACCTTCTACATCATCAGCTGCCATTCGAAGAAGGGACTCTGTGAAGTTAACTTCTACACTTTTTTTCTCTAAAATTTTCATAATGATGTCTTGTGTGAGTCCTGGATTTTCTTTTTCAGCCTATAAAGAAGAGAAAGCTAGTTTTAAAATACAGAAGCTCAATCAGCATTTTAAAGCCAAAACATAATTGTTTAGAACCTGCTGGGAACTTCTTAGAGTAATCAACTTATGACAGCAGAAATCTTGGTAAAGTAGGTGCAGCGACAGCATTCACTTATGTTTTGTCAAGAACTTACACATCGGTGACTTATTACAGCCATGGTCCCATTTGCCATTTGAACATAAAGTACTTAATATTTCCTATTTCTCCTCTACTCTCACTTGCAATCAAACTAGTAACAAAAATAGAAATAAAGATTATACATATTTTGGTAATCTATCAATTTACTCTGTTCAGTAGTTTAAATACACTAAGGATTTTCAGCTTTTTTTCATTAGCTAATATTTCAACTAGAGGATCAAGCAATAACTCATCTTACCAATACTTTGCAGATTCTTTGCACTTAAATGAACAGAATGTCAGGAAAAACAAAAATGAAAACAGAAACACAGGATTTCTTTTGCAGGTTTTATTTAAGTTATATCATCCTTCACTTTCCCACATAACAACTTTCATTTCCTATTGTATTTCTGGAGCAAGAATATCTCCTTTTATAGCAAGAATAATTTACAGAACATCATTTAATCTTTTTGCTACCTCCTGAGCTTATTTCATAGATGAGTTTGCATTAGTTCTATGTTATTTACTCTCATCTCACTAGGGCACTAAAATCTTCTAGCCATCTCAAGACTGAACACAGAAAGTTCTGAGTTTACCAAAGTTAATTTTCAGATTTGGGTTTTCCCCAGTAATTCTGTCCCATTTTATTATTTTAAAAAATGTTGTTTCTTTTAGGATGCCTGAAAATTTTAATTATGCTGATGATTTCCTATCTTTTTTTACCCAATATTAAATAGCAAATAGAAACATAATTTATGATCCTAATCAGACAGCAATCTGTTTCCATATGTGTCAAGCACATTTAACGTCTGCCTTTTCAATTCCATTCTGGTATCATGGCAGATCCAGTTTTCTTCTGCTCCTACTGCTCTTTCCATTATAACATCTTGTTTCTTATTAGGGTTCAGGTATCAAAAACTGAAAGGTTCTGGAATGGAATGGGAAAAGAAAATATTCACATTTATCTCAATCCTGGGATCATTTTAACTGCTGTCATATGCTATTCAAGGAAATCATTTTGATAGATGATTAATAACAATAAAGTGTATCCTACTGAATTCCATGTCCTTTATAACCTGTTTTGATTTCTCCTTCCATGAATATACTTAAGATACAATCTATTTTTTAAAAACAAGAGTTACCTTAAAGGAAAAGTTGTACAAATATGGGTTAAGATGGTGTCAGCATTATTAATTTGGTGACCGGCCACAAAACTATATACAGTATTTAGATAAGCCAGTATTTGATAAAATGGTCTATCATCTTTCTCTAAGTAGCATTAAATTAGCTATATAATGCATCATCTTATGAGGTAGGGGAGTACCTTCCATGTGCTTACAAAATATACCAGGAGAAAAATAATCTCTCTGATTAAGTTATAATAAACTGCTAACATCATTAAATGCTAAGCCTGAGATAAAGTTTTCAACACCAAGTTGGTGTGGAGCCCCAAACTGCCAAAATTGGAGCATTACAGAACTCTTACACGGAGGTCTCTCACACAAGTGTTTTTCATGCAAAGAAAACAGTGGCTGGCTGTGTATTAAGTAGTTAGGTTCAAATAACTTAATAGTAAGTACTTGTGTCCTAACAACTGTCCTTAAAAAATACACAAATTTGGGGTGCCTGGGTGGCTCAGTGGGTTAAAGCCTCTGCCTTCGGCTTGGGTCATGGTCCCAGGGTGCTGGGATCGAGCCTCGCATCAGGCTCTCTGCTCAGCGGGGAGCCTGCTTCCCTCTCTCTCTGCTTGCCTCTCTGCCTACTTGTGATCTCTCTTTGTCAAATAAATAAATAAAATCTTTAAAAAAAAATACACAAATTAAAAGAAAAACATTTTATTTCATTCTTAAATAACCATAATTACTTATTAATGAGATGCATTCACCTGTTGGGCCCTACACAATTTCTCAAATGTTGGTATTAGACTGGATCCTGCCAGCCTCATTTCCTATTGGACACAGATCTTCTTGTGGTACTTACTTTTTATCATAGCAACGGCCAAAATTCCAATTTCATAAAAATATGACATCACTGAAAGGAATGTAGCCCAATCTAATATGCTGAAATTGCAAACTACCTCAAGCTAGCATAGTTCACAGTGTCAGATGTTTAATATCGTTGTGTTCCTTTAAAGTTTTAAAATAACTCATGGTACTCTTCTGAGTTTGCTGAGGGCCCCAGGGTGCCTCAGCACCTAGCCTGGGAACAACTGTCTTAGTATCTTCTGGCTGAAATCCTAACTAAGCTACTTACTTTTCATTTTAAAAGCCTTAAATTTACCCAATTCCTTTGACTGACAAAATAAATAGATCTGTGCTTAAATTGATGACTTTTAACTATCTATACCTTCAGGTTTTCTCCCAGAATACAACCTTGAATTCTGTGGGGATCCAATTTTTATGAAGAATCCAACTGTGAGAGAAAACTATCCCCCAGTAGCAGTAACATCCAAGCTCATGATTCAATGATCCTCAACAGCACAACCTATCAGAACTTTCCAGATGGGAAAAGAAAGTGAATAGATATCTTAAAAGATAATATTCATTAATATTTTATCTTGGGGAAAATAATTTTAATCCTTTTTCTCATAATAAAAATAAATATTATTACCTTGATAAATGACACTTGTGGTCAAAGAACTAGAAATATGGACATATATTTTAGGAATATTAGTAGGGATATATGGGTGGGCGAGGCATTTATTTTATTTATCTTTTGAGAGAAAGAGAAAGTACAAGGTGGAGGGGGTGGGGGGGGGTGGAAGCACAGGAAAGATAAGCAGACTCCCTGCTGAGCAGCGAGCCTGATGTGGACCTAATCCCAAGAAGCTGAGATCATGACCTAAGCTAAAGGCAGGTGCTTAACTGAGCCACCCAGGCGCCCTTTGGTGAGGGTTTTTAAATCTTTTTGCAAATAAGTTGGTAGTTTTAGAAACACAAAAATCAACTTTTTAATGCATACCCTTTTAATTCCATTTGAAATTTAACAAATTAAATATAATAAAAATAAATCAATGCAAAACTAATTTGTTTTCCTCTCAAAATAACTTCCACTTTCCCCAATTATCAATCAATGCCATGGGTAATAAAATTTATCCATATGTTAGATCTATCACAGCCACATACTTTAAATATATTGTTTGCTTTTAAATTGTACTTTATTGTTAAAACATCAGATGTAAGCCTTATTAAGAAAAAGCTTAATGAAATTATTTTCTCTCTTTCAGAAATGACATTGAGGATATCACCTACTACTTCAGACAGTCCTCCTTATGATGATCCACAGGAGAAATCTCTCTGTTCTTGCTATCAAAAAAGCTAAAAACTGACTTTTCCATATCAATACTGTATTGTGCAACAGGCCTGTGGCCTGCATTCCTTTCTCTGGCCACAAAGAAAATACTCAGCAAATTAACATAAAATAGTTTTCATCATGCTTCCCTAATAACCAAATATGCCATTCCAGAGCCACACTGAAGCTCAAAGAAAAAAGAAAAAAAACTGATGGTATTAATTCATATATTCTCTTCATTAACCCAATGATTTGTCAGGACATATTTTAATAAAGCTACTATGTATGTATACATAGGAACTGCATTTTAGAGTATTAATCACACCAAAATAACTCTAATATAATATATATAATGTAAATTCTCATGGTAAAGTAAGACAGATGTCTAGTGACATTATCAACACTAGTAGTTAAAAGTGGTATTAATAAACTATCTTTGTCATAAAAAGAACTCAAACTTGATTGATTTATAGTTTTAATCCAATAAAACTCTATAAATTTATTCTAGATTTAAACATTAAAATACCTGAAATAGAAGTTATTTTAGCTATTGACAGGAACATAAACACAGTAAGTAAATAAAAATTGAAGTTTTAGGCACCATGATATGTACTGGGAAAGGAAAGGGAATGGATAAAGTTTTATATGAAAGAATGCACCCAGTATGTGTAATAGGGCTGTCCAATAGAAATATAACCCAAGCAACAAATTTCATTGTTAATTTTAAATTTTCTAGTGGCCATGTTACAAAAGTAAAAATAAATACATGAAATCATTTTAAGAGTACATCCAAAATATTATCATTTCAACATGCAATTAATATAAAACTTATTCCTGAGTTATTTTACATTCTTTATCTTATACTAAGTATTCAAAATCTGGTGTGTATTTTATACTTGGGAGTACAACTCAATTTGAACTAGCCATATTTTAAGTACTCAACTGCAACATGTGGCTAGTATTTATCAAACAGTTCAGGTCTAAAGACAACAAAAAGTTCACTCTGAATGACTTGGTTGGATGTTTGCAAGGTATCCTTAATCTGACCCCCACACAGGTCTTGTTTTCCTATCAAAAATACTGTTTTATTCCTATGTTCTATAATTAAGCAATATGAAAAACATCTTTTTGAGTTATAATTTTACAAAAATTTTTATCACAAATAACAGAAAAAGAAATTCAAAAATATACTCTAAAGCTAAAGAGAAAAAACTCGAAAGAAGTCAGTTTTCAAAGCACAAAGTGACAAAAAGATGAATGCTAAGGAAACAGCATTTGTTTTAATTCACTTCTGAGAAGTGTTTTAAGCTTTACAGAGTACACTAAAACGGACATAAAACAGCTGAAGAGATTTTCACTAAAAGGAAATAAAGTGGCAATTCTTACATGATATTCAGATTTATATACAACATACATTTTAATCATAATAAATTATTTGCACCTCACCTTAATGAAAGCTGCTCTCAGTGTCTGAGCTGCTGACAGATTTACTCGTTCTAGCTGCAATATAAATTTAAAATCACTATTAGTACCAATTTCCTTAGAAAAGGTGCATTTTTGATATTCCATTCTATAGTAATAACTCTGATATATCCATCATTTGATCAACAAAAATACTTGCTAATTATTCTAAATCACCTTAATTCTTCAAATACACAGGTCATCTAAAATTTTCATTAGGAACCATGAGAAATTGAGGGATGTATGAATTCTTTATTCTTTTTAAAAACAAGACACACTCTACCTTAAAACTGGATTTAAGATGAGCACAGAATGCAAAATAATATCAAGTTCTTATAAAAAGAATAAACATACTTACTTCAATTATTGAAAATAGGGTTCAAGACCAACTCTCAATGCTCTGTTGCCAGTATATAGCAAATTGGCTGAATAGAAATGACCAACACCAAGAAAACATTTATTATTTAAGATTCTTTGTATTTATTACCTTACTCTTTTTTAATTATTTTACAATCCCTCAGCCAGGGATTAAGTTGAGGTTAGTCTATTTTATTAATTAGCAAACAGCACTGACACAAGGTTTGACTGTAATAAAGACTGTAGATCATCTGTCCTCTATGTTATCTGGATTTAAGAAAGGTTACCTAAAATACTGAATCAAAAGTTCAATCCCAAAGCTTTTAGTTTTAATATAAAATATGTGAGGTTTACAATTCGGAAAGATACATGTCCTGGGGTCGCCTGGGTGGTTCAGTGGGTTAAAGCCTCTGCCTTCTGCTCAGGTCATGATCCCAGGGTCCTGGGATCGAGCCCCACATCGGCTCCCTGCTCAACAGAGAACCTGCTTCTCCCTCTACCTCTGCCTCTGCCTGCTGCTCTGCCTACTTGTGCTCTCTAATAAATAAATAAAATCTTAAAAAAAAAAAATACATGTCCTTATTATACACTTTACAGAATTCATTTTTCAGTGAGCCAAAAAAAAAAAAAATCCATTTGTTGAAAAGTTAAATGTTAGGCTTAAAATAACTACCTTCAGTTAAATTCCAATTTTTTTAGTCCCTAAAAATTGGGCCAATTAACTCAATAAAACTCAATGCATATATTTTTTACTGAGAACAATATTAAAATGTTCAAAAACAATGTTAACTTTTGTAGGATTTTTATGCAAGTGGAGTCTTTTCACAAAAATCTTATGAACATATCATATCTTGCAATAAATATTCCTTTCAACCCCTTGAGGCAATAAATGTAAGTTTTCCTTTATAAACAACATATATACACATATATATCTAAGGAATGGCCTACACCTTATTAAATCACTTTATTTTCTAAACACGACAGAAATGTCAAGAACCTTATCTCCCTACAAGTTATGCACCTTAAGCAAAAAAGCAACAAAATGTGCCAAGATAAATACTTTATCTCCAAAAATAAATAATAGGCCATTTAACTCAGTTTTAAACTTGGCTTCTATAAATCCAGTAAAATCTAACATTGCCTTAGTAGATAAAAGGGAAGATACAGGAGGAACAGGTAGGAAAATACAGCAAAAAACAAAAAAACAAAACAAAAACCCAACAACAACAAAACCCCTGTAAAATTAGTGAAAATAAGCTGCCACAAATGAAAAACTTTCATCTTCCATGGAATTCATTTAATTGTAATGAATCCTATTTAAGATTAAAATAGTAATACAGCTCTTCTGATCTCAAGTTCTTGTTGTATAAGGGAGGGAGAGGCAGATAGACAGGAATGAATGTTTCCATTCTGATAGGAACCATTTCCTTATTTGGGTTTACAGCACACTCTGACCTCTTTCAACAAGTCAAAGGTCCGAGTCACACGTGTACCTCCAAATATCAGCATTACTAACTCATTCTGTACTGCCCTGGCTGGTATGTGAAAGGGTCAAGGGAAGTAAAAAGAGGCCAAGAATAGTCCGTGAAGAACTAATAAAATTAGCCAAGATAGACATTGGATTTCTAGATTAAGTTTACATACGTGTGTCTTAGAAAAGAAAGGGAAAGGCCAGACATATACTAAATCAAATCCGTGAGCTGTGAAGCACCTCAACCAGAACTCTGCTGGGAGTCATTCCGGGATACATTATATATCCACACATCTTGCAGTAAATCCACTAGGCTTCATTATGCATATGATACTCCCATTGCCCAGGGAGCACCAGGCATACAGGCACATATCTACTTTTTGAATTGAACTTAATCTCTCATCCATAAATTTATCTAAATTATTCTTAAATCTATTTATAATTTGCATCCTGTAATACTTAGCACAGTATGTTTTTATCTTCCTTAATAAAAAGTGCTTCCCTGTTCTTTAACTAGTGATAGATGATTTGATGATAAAATCACATTCACCTTACCGTTCATGACAGTGTAAGGTTCTGGCAGTATCTTAACAATTATCATTTACTTAGCACCAGTAATGAACTTTGTTATATATTTTCATAGAGATCATCTCATCCTCACAATCTATAACTAGTTATCATCTCTATTTTATAGAGGCAGAAATTCAGTTTGTATAAATTTACCTAGTATTCAACAGCTAGTGCATACAGAGGCAGGATTCATAAGATATCTGTCTGGCTCTAAAACTTGTGCACAAGCCACTTAATGCTACCCTGCCTCCCTGAATTCACCCATTCCAGACTGGCATCAACTCCCTCACTGAATCTCTTCAACTACTTAAGAACTAAAAATTCCTGAGTTTCTACCACGTGCAAGTCAGTGTGAGAGATACAAAGAAATGGATTACAATCCTGGAATCCCAGAAGATCATTTTAAGTAAGCAGCTACATGGAAACTGATGGGATCACTGTCAGCTGAAGTAGAAAAAAAAAGTCTTTATGGAGGTGAGATCTGAATTGGTCCCTGAAGAACACAGCCTCTTAAAATCACCTTCCTGGGCCATTTGCCCACTTACGGGTTTCTTCAGGGTTGGTTAAGACATGCACGAGTAAAGTTTTTATGTGAGTTTAGAACAGAAAAGAATTTCCATTTTGTTTCTAATACTTCCACTAATTAGTCCAATAATTTTTTTTAAAGATTTTGTTTACTTGACACAGAGAGATACCACAAGTAGGCAGAGAGGCAAGCAAAGAGAGAGGTAGAAGCAGGCTCCCTGCTGAGCAGAGAGCCCAATGCGGGGCTCGATCCCAGGACCCTGAGATCATGACCTGAGCCAAAGACAGAGGCTCAACTCACTGAGCCACCCAGGCACCCCAATACGGTAATTTTTTTTAAGCTTTTGAGGTAACAGCTGTTGCTTAGGGTATCTTTAAAGAGCCAATGCAATCATTTCTTAGTAGTATTTGATTGTGAATTCAAAAGAGGAGGAAGAAACATACAATTACACCTTGCATTAATGGGTATCTGGACAAAAAGAGGCCTTCCTGGGGCCTCAGCCGTCTACATGGCACCAGTAAAAGGGTAAAGGGAAAAAAGAGAATAAGCACAAGAGAACAGGGCACCTAATCTCATTTCACCAAAAAAGTAAGGAAAGTGCCTCCTGGAGTCCCAGCTAGAAGAAAGATAGGCTGAATGAACTTAACAGCAGGGCTCTCACCCCCCAACAACAGATTCTTCCTATTCTGTTCTGAGCTCCTCCTGTAATGTATACTTGATAGCTTCTGATACACTATTTAACTATAAACTTGGTCAAATCTAACTCTCCATAATATTTATAAAAATATTTCAAAAGCTTACACAAAATTTTGATTCCAATCAGAGTGCATTTATTGCATTGGTCCCTCCAAAGGTACCGGTTCATCACTACTTTATTTTCTAGTTATCAAGCCCAACTCCTACATCCATAACTGAAAAAAAAAAATCCATTTAACTCCTTGGTTACTTAAGTTTTGTACGTCTCGCATAAAATCTTTTGAAAGTATTCCTTCTTTAAGTTCAAAATAATGAGGTTAGTTAGTTCTGAATTATCTATAAATTTTGCTTTCTCAAAATCAGGAATGATTTCTCCATGCTGACAACCTTCTCCCCTCCCCACAAAAACTATTGAGTCTATTCTTTAAAAGGAATCAAACAGGGCCAAGACACAAGAAAACGGGGCACCTCGGTGGCTCAGTTGGTTAAGTATTCAACTTGATTTCAGCTCAGGTCATGATCTCAGCGTCCCGGGAGGGAGCGCCTAGCAGAGCTGGGCATGGGAGTCTGCTTGTCCCCCTCTCTCTGCCCTTCCTCCTGCACATGTGTGCACGCTCTTTTTCTCTCTCTCTTAAATAAATAGACAAATCTTAAAAAAAAAAAAGAAAAAAAAGACACAAGAATAAAAGGTACATCTCTTATAACTCAAATGAAAATGAGTAAGTCAGATAAAAAAAAAAAAGCTAGAAGGTAAGTAGATAGACTCAAGAGGCCACCTATTAACTTTTGTGCTGCCACAGAGAAGACAAATGCAGTAATGTGTTTTATACATATTAAATGCAGTAACTGTTTCTAAAATAATCTGTTTCTGGGGTTGCCAAGTTGTCCAGCAAAAAAGGTAAGGAGAGCCACCTATTATAAAAATGTTTCATTAAAAATTGCCTACTAGAATGTAAAAGTCTAGGGAATGATCACAATTGATCAGAAAATTGCCCAAAGACTTCCGAATAACAGCTCTACCTGGTACTAGTCTCAGTACTACAACATGTTAAGTCTTTTACTTTACAGAGTTATGAAAAATAAATATATTACTGTATATCATCAGTTTATAAACAAGGAAAGAAATATAAGATTACATAGCCTGGAATAAGAGGCAGAGCAGTAATTCTTATGCAAGATATTAACTATGATCACCTTTGGATGATGGGACTGCAGGTAAAACCCATGCCTTCACTATGGAGAGGTATGTTTATTATGCTTCAATTTGGGGGTTTGATTTTTTTCTTTTAATTAAAAAAAGGATAGTTAGGTATATGAAGTTGGAGAAATATTCCCAGATTTCATTTGCTTGTTGGAAAAAATTAAGAGCTGTATATTCTGCTGAGTTGGCAGAAATAACTGTTGGATGCTTCTGAATAGAGTAGTAATTACTTACTCAGAAGTTCCATTTTTGTATCATTTATAAACAAGCCTATAAACCTTGGCAATCTAAAATTTGTATTTGGTTGCAAGATTTTTTATTCCTATCTCAAAACACAATACAGATTTTTTCAGAAGTTATACTTCACCTTAAAATAATTCCTCTAAAAAGTCACAGGAAATGATGATTCATGGTGTATCTTTTCCTGGAATGAAGAACTGAACTACACCTCTCTTCTCCTCCATACGCAAAGAATCAGTAGAAAGTTATACAGTACATGCGAACCTGATCTAAGACTTGTCACGAGACTTCTATAAACTCATTATTCCATAAGGTAACCAGGAGACCTATTTCACAGTACATTTACAACACATGCAATATACTTGGACTCTGAACTCTGCAGCAGCTGATTAAATAACAAGACTACCCCTTTCTCAGCTGTCTTGGCACAGCTTCATTAAGTTTAGCAAGCATCAAACTCCCAAAATGCCATAAATAACTTCCCTTTGTGAGCTGGAGTAACAGTACTAAAATTTCCCAGAAGTAAGGATGCTATCTAAGGATACTACCTAAAAATCTGTTCTACAAGTTGACTTCAGACCACCATTGTTACTATTACGGATGTTATGTTAGGGTGAGAATGTTAAGTTTTTTAACTCTTCCAATACACTGTGGACAAAATTAAGTATATCATTTAGCTCCAGAGTTAAACATTCATCCTTACTCTGATACTATTTTCTCTAAGATTAATTTCATAACCATTTTATCTTTAAATCCGTATAGCACAAAAAACAGAATCAAACTAAATTCTAATTTCCCCATTAGTAGATCTATAGAAAAATCTATGTTTGAACTATGGTTAAATATTAATGTTTAACTGACTAGGTATCTTATTTATTTTTTTAAAAGATTTTATTTATTTATTTGACACACAGAGACACTGAAAGAGGGAACACAAGCAGGAGGAGTAGGAGAGGGAGAAGCAGAGCAGGCATCCTGAAGCAGGACCCTGGGATCATGACCTGAGCTGAAGGCAGATGCTTAATGACTGAGCCACCCAGGCAGCCCTAGGTATTTTATTTTATTTTTAAAGATTTTATTTATTTATTTGACAGAGATCACAAGTAGGCAGAGAGGCAGGCAGAGAGAGAGAGAGGGAGAAGTAGGCCTCCCGCTGAGCAGAAAGCCCAATGCGGGGCTCGATCCCAGGACCCTGGGATCACGACCTGAGCCGAAGGCAGAGGCTTTAACCCACTGAGCCACCCAGGAGCCCTGGTATTTTATTTTAGAGGTTACATTAATACACTGGAATGTCAGACAATAATGCTAGTATTTTATTCTTTTCAACCAAACACTTCACATTTGAAGGCATAATTATTTTATTCCATTCCTAAATCAAGCCCCAGATTTGATATCTCTATCAAAGAAGAGACCTACTATCACAATTCCTAAAAGCCTATTATTTCTGAACACTTGTTTTTAAATAACATGACAGAAATAATTTTTATAAAAAGTTTGATACCATAATGTTAGATCATAAATTCCAGAACTAGACCTGACAATCTGACACAGTATCTCTCAATCTGCTACATCTAGCCATTTCATTTTCCAATTCAGTTTTAACAATTAATTCTTGAACCAACTATGAAACATTTGGGAACACGTTCTAATTCTGGGCCACTAACCCACATATTTTTTTAGATGTCATCTGGTGAGTATCATTGCCTTTATTTCTGGAAAGATTTACCAGTCCATTCATAGCCATTTCCTTTTCTTTCAAATTAATTTTTCTTACACATGAATAAATTAGATAGTTCCAGTATTAATTCCAATAGTTCATTTTATCAGAATCTCATAACCTATATGACTATTTTCTAAAGTCAAGATTCGAATAAAATCCATTTTCCTTATGTAGGAAAAGATCACTCTAGTTACAAAAAAAACTTCTCTCACTCCTCTTCACTAACTAGAGGATCAAACAGAAGCTCTGCAATGTAAACCGCCCTTCCTTCAGGTAGTGACTCAAAATACTAGATAAATACAGAAATGCCCCAAACAACTTAGCCCAATAGCCCACAGGGGTAGCTACCTATAGAGACCCAAGAAGAGGGAGCACCTGAGAAGTTAAAACACTAACCATCAATATATATTACTTAACAGTTTCAGTGACGATCTTCTTACCTCATCCTTGGTATAAGGATAATTAAATAATGCATCTGCTTAAACACCTGTGTAAGATGTTTAAGAAAATAGTTCTCTATGGTTAAGAAGAGATATAATGCCTTTTTCTTTTTCACATGTCCAGACCCTAGCAGACTACTCAGCAAATAAATGACAGACATTTAGTAAGTACTTACTAAGCAAAACTGAAGCACTTGTTTCTAACAATAATTACAGCTTTGTAATGAATGGGTACATATTGGAACAAAGTGCGGGAATTAATTACTGGAGTGTTGGCTATACCTACCAGAGATGGGTAGTAACAGCCCTGAAAGAGTGCCTCCAATGCTACCATAGATTTAATATAACAGGGACAGGTTTTTCAAAAGATGCCTCCTATTGCTTCCTCTTTAGTGAAAAAACTTCTAAATTTCCCAACATCCTTTGCAGCTAAGTGTGGTCTTATGACTAGGTTCTTGCCAATGAGATGTAAATGGAAGTCTTGTACAGCACTTTCAAAAAGGTTACTTGAAGGAAGGTGAATTGGCTGGAAGGAACACCTACCTCCTATTCCATTTTTTTGTGTGTGTGCCTTCCAGACAACAACTTAGGACATGATGAATGGAAATTCAGCAGCTATCCCACATGCTGAGGTAACCCTGATAACGGAAAGTAAGCACTAGGATACCGAGTCATAATAACACTAGCACTGGACCACTTAGAGCCACAATTTTTATGCAAGAGAAGTAACTTTTATGTAAGCCAGTTTTTGAGTTTTCTTTTATGCTCTCTGAATCTAATAAGACTATTTGATAGACAGCATTTAGAATTTCAAAATATATGTCTGAAATGGCAACTAGGTCCATGATTTCCAAGTTGAAGAGGATGAATCACTCCTCACTGTCCCCAAGACCTAAGACCACAAAAGCATCAAATACATTATTATTAAACCTACTGTGGGATAAAGGGCTTTGAAATCCAGAATCTTATTCTGATATAAATACTTTACAAAAAGGAATAAAGTCACTGGAAATGGTGAGGGTTTCCAAGCTACAGTAGCAACAATAAGGTCAATGGCATGGATAGCTTTATAACTGAATAGCAAAACAAAAACAAGAAGACCCTAATTAAATGTACAGAAAGGCTAAGGGTGAAGCCACTGAATTTGGAACCCCAGATTTTAGTTCTAGGTAATTTCAGGAACACCATTTCACATACTAAGAACTCGGTTCACCATTAAAAGGAGGGACATGATTAAATCATTTCTAAGGAATTTCCAGCTCTAATTCTCTAACACTTTAGCATATTAACATTAAATTAAAAGAAAACCCAAAAATGTATTAAGTCCTAGAAAAATCCCTCAAATAAAAAGGCAACTACATCTTCTCTAGATACTAAAGCAATGCTATCTTCCATTTATCAGTAAAAATATGTTTTGTCTCTACTGACTAGAATTCATCAGGATATTTTTGTGCCTGCTCTTCCGGCTACCTAATATGTGTTTATCCCAAACTCAACTGTCTAACCCTTAGTTACCGCTTTTCGATCTTAGCATATATGTCTCATCTTCATTGAAGCTGGTCCTGACCCCTAAAGAAGGTTCCACCAGCTATTTTATTGAACATATGATTTTTGGTAACTTCACAGGACTTTTCACAACTTTCCATTTATGTAATTACTTGTATTCTCTTTTTCAACGTCTGTCTCTCCCTCTATAATGAAACCTCCAGATGGGAAGAAATATATCTAGGTTCCTCCCTCCCCACTGTTTTATGTCCAGTCCTGGTACAATGCCTAACACACAGATAAAATTCATTTATGTATTTGTTATATGAAGAAACAAACAAACAAATGAATAAATGAGGCAGGCATCAAGAATTGAAGAGATCATATGAGAAATGTTTACCCACTTACCTCATTAAACACAGGATACATGACTGCATAAAGGGGCATAGAAACCATGGAAGTGGTCTCAGCTTCATTCTTCATCTCTTCCATTGTCATCCTCATTCAAAAGCCAACTACAGTAGAAAAAGCAGTGCTAAAATGCAGAGGAATCTTCATTCACTACAGTGTTTCTTCTCTTTTTTGTGATAAAATAGGGCACAAAATATATACTGACCTGGTTAAAAGGAAAGAAAGAACAGAAATTTACTCTATTAAGGGAAAAGTACAAACACCAATAACTTTCTTTGCCAGTATCTCTATCTTATGAACAGCTGATGTGTTAATATATCTTGCTTGTAAGGATACTCCTGATCAGTAACACATCTCTTTTCCTCCTCAGACTCAAGAATTTGCCCTTACAATTAATTTTCCCTCACTAGGTACTAATTCACAGAGCTGTGATTCACGAACCCACTCATCTTTAACTGAGAGTGCTCCCTGAAGCACCATGGGATAATGATGCATCTAATTCCAACATACATGCAATCAAAAAAGTTAATACAAGAAATTATCAACAAAGTAGAATTATAGCACTTATATATAACATAAAACTGTAACTATGAAATACATAGAGCATAAATGTTTATGGAGAACTTCATTAAGAATTAGGAAAAAAGAATTAAAGGTGTTTAGAGTAAAATCTTTTTGCTAATAGTTCACTGATTTTGCCACCTAAAAATAACAAAAACATAGCCAACCACCAGAAATTTAAGACAAATCTTTAAAAAACTGGGAAAAGTCTATCAAATGTGGTCTATTTGGGGATAAAATGTTATTTAATTTTGCCAGTGGTATTTCTGCATCTTTGTCCAAATCTCACACAAAAACGAAGTAGAGGGGCGCCTGGGTGGCTCAGTGGGTTAAAGCCTCTGCCTTCAGCTCAGGCTCAGGTCATGACCCCAGGGTCCTGGGATCGAGCCCCACATCGGGTTCTCTGCTCCACAGGGAGCCTGCTTCCCCCTCTCACTGTCTACCTGCCTATCTGCCTACTTGTGATCTCTGTCTGTCAAATAAATAAATAAAATCTTAAAAAAAAAAAAAAGCAGAAAGATCCATAGACACTGATAATTTGGCATTAAAATACTGAGAATTCAACAATATGAGAGAAATTTGGCCTTGAATAGTTAGTTGAGGAAGTTTTTTTTTTTTTTTTTAAGAGAAAGCAACTGTATTTATTTCCTTTGCTAGGCTAAAAAATGAGCCTAATTATAAAGTGAGAGAGTAATATTAGTGACATATCTGTATTTCAAACAATGTATATTGGTATACATATTTTAAAAACATCAATTTTTATTAACTTCTACCATTTATAAAGCATTTTCAGATGATAAAACATTTTTCACATGCTTTTAGTCCTCAAAATTACATTAACTGTTATTCTAACCTTACAGAAAGCAGGTTCTGAGATGATAAATGATTTGACCAAGAACACATATGCAGAGGCCCAAGACTTGATCCTAATACTCTCAATCCAGACCTAGTAAGTCCGCATTAAAAAAGAAGAAAAAACAACTAAGTCTGAAGTAGAGACAAAGAACCTCAGCTCATCTACCCAAGAAAATACCCAGAAGTTATTAACTCACTGAATACATTTATGTTTAGCCCCTACTCTGTAGAAGATGCAGTGGAGGGGTGATTAAGATGTGGTCCTAATCATTAAAACTTATCTGGGCTGGACTGTGGAAGACCTGAGCAGTTTGAAAGATACAATCAAAGGTCTGAGTATGCAGAGCTTCAAAAAGCTCTAATAACCTGTCCCATGTGAGAACTGCTTACCATCCTTCCATAATCCTTACCAGTTAAGGGGAAAAGGACACCTATGGAAACCATTTAGTCCCATTTCTGGTAGTTCTAAATATGGAAAGTTTTTTGTTTTGGGGGTCAAGCTGCTCATTAACCTCACAGAACCAAGTCAATAAATAAAAATAAGGCCAATTCCTAAGTTTATTCTATAGGGTATTAGAAAACCATTACCTGATCAGATCATTTATTTAAGCAGACTGCTTTGGTCATACTGTTAAGGATAAAATGGAGGAACATAAACTGAGGGCAGGGGAAACTTAAGAGACCTAGTATAGTTATACAAAAGACCCACTGGACCTAAGCAAGTAGCAAGAGGAAGAAGGTAAGTATCAATTGTGAATCTGCTGTATCTATTTAACTACTTAATTGGCCATTTGGTAATCTACTTTTCCACTTTAGAAATAAATTATGAAGATTTTTTCACAGTAAACTTGGAACAAAAAAAAAGAAGCTGAAATGCAGGGACAGTGGTCAAAATGAAATGATGGATACTGGATGCACAGTATAGACAGTAATTGAAGGCATCAGTATCAATGGAAAAAAATAAGCGAGAAATAGAACAGGGCTGACACCAGAACTTGACGAGCCATCTCATGGGGTAACAGAAAAAAAAAATCATTCGTTTATTTAACAAATATTTATGCATTACCTATACAGAATTAGGCCTAGGACTAGCTATGGAGCAGTGAACAATACAAGACAGTCTCTGGCCTCATGGAGCTTGTAATATGAAAGGAAAGCCAGAAAATGAACAATTGTCAGTACATACAAGAGAGAAGTGCAGATGCTATACTGCTATGGGAGAATTGGGTGACAGAACCAGCATCACAGAAACCAGGTGTTTCAAAGAGAAGGTCGTCCAGAGTTTTAAATGCTCCTGAGCATAGACAATAACTTTTAAAAAGTTACGGGATTTCTTGATGAGGTCATGTATAATGCTCACAGAGTAATGTCACTTATATACCAGGGGACAGAACTACCTACCTGCAGGAACTGAGACAGTAAGGTGGTGAGAGAGGTGATTTCAATAAAAATGGGGTGAATTCCTAAAGTAGGCTCAACTGGATTATTTTTGTCTTTTATTCTTTTAAACATGTATGTATCCCTGCATATATAAAGGCAGACAGAGTGAAGGGATCCTTAAAAGTAGCTAGAGTCACTCAGAATCCTGCTGGCACCTACCTATCTAACCCACGAAACCTGTTCAAATACTTAATTTTTATCTTTTGTAAATCGTGGCATTGAAATTTCTTTTAATTGAATCAATAGTACTGTCCCATGTCAGGAGTTTCACTTAAGATATTTATGATTCAAATTTAGAAAAACCAAACACATACATATATTTCTTGCCTCTAAAACTAACTTACAGTACTAGTAGCTACTATGTCATCAAAAAGAAAGTGTTAATGGGGTGCCTGGGTGGCTCAGTCGGTTAAGCATCTGCCTTGGGCTCAGGTCATGATCTTGGAATCCTGGGATCAGCCCTGCATCAGGCTTCCTACTCAGCGAGGACTCTGCTTCTCTTTCTCTTTTTCTCTCTCTCTGCCCCGCCCCACTGCTCGTTCTCTCTCTCAAATAAAGTCTTAAAAAAAAAAAAAAATAAGTATGGTAACAATATTTATTTTTTTAAAGATTTTATTTTTTTATCTGACAGATAATAAAGACTTTATTTATTTATCTGACAAAGATCACTAGTAGGCAGAGAGGCAGGCAGAGAGAGGGGGAAGCAGGCTCCCCACTGAGCAGAGAGCCTCACTTGGGCTTGATTCCAGGACCCCGGGGATCATGACCCGAGCAGAAGGCAGAGGCCCCAACCCACTAAGCCACCCAGCTGCCTCATATTATAGCAATATTATGAGCTAAATAGGTGTCTGTCTTACATCACATTTATCTACCTTTTAATACTGTTTCTATGGAAAATGTTTAAAGAACCAAGTTACAACTGAACTTCTCAGAACACACATTCACAAAACTGGGGCCACTCATAATTTCATCAATGTTTACATGAGATTAAAAAATCAACAATTTCAATAAGGCTTTTTTAAATATGCCAATTTTAGTTCAAGTTGAAATATGCTGTCATTTCTTCTATATGCTTCTTTATTTGAAATGGTTCAATAGACAACCTACAATTACTCCAAGCAACAAGGAGCCTGTCAACCTGAAGAGCAAGGGTCAACTGAACTGAGCAAGAGCCTGAGGCCCTACCCCTTTGAGGTTTCTTCCTTTCACCACGGGTGTCACCACAGGCCCAGGGCAGGTGGGCAGCACATGACCAGTTTCAACTCCCTAAGGGATACTGGTTTCTGAGGTAAGCGCTCATTGTTCATGCAAAGCCAACTGAACCCCTAATCCCGAATCTGGAAAGGCCTTAAAAAGTCACCTCATCTACCATGCAGTACAACAGAAACCACAGTCCAAAAAATGACTTGCCATGGTTATAACTGCTAAATAATAATAAATAAAAATATAATGTGGGTATAGTGGCAACAAGAGAAGAACTTAGTTTCCCATTTCCAATGTGTTGCATTAGGAAAAAAAAAAAAAGTTTTCATTTCAAAGTAAACTCTGTTTCCCAAGGAGTTAGCATCACAACATTTTTAAAAAACCAAAATCACAGATGTCAGTAACTTAAGACAAAATGTATACTTTTAAGCACACTTTACTTCAAAAACACCTCTGTATATGGTAATACCATACAAATAGAATGAGCAACCAATTCATTTATACTTTCCCCCTTATTTCCCTGAATGTTCAAAACAGCAATACTAATTTCTGACACAAAATGCTTAAGTATTAAACACTTCCTGCACTTAAGACAATTACTATTTGTTTAAAGTGAAGGGAAAACAGGGGCGCCTGGGTGGCTCAGTGGGTTAAAGCCTCTGCCTTCGGTTCAGTTCATGATCCCAGGGTCCTGGGATAGAGCCCTGCATCAGGCTCTCTGCTTGACAGGGAGCCTGCTTCCCTTCCTCTCTCTCTGCCTGCCTATCTGCCTACTTGTGATCTCTGTCAAATAAATAAAATAAAAATCTTTAAAAAACAAACCTTTTAAAAAAATAAAGTGAAGGGAAAACAAAAACAGGTTCTTGGGCATTCTTCTGTCCTGACCTGCCCAAAGAACCAACAGAAGTCTGTTCATTTAAAGAACTATACTCAAATATATCTTATGGATCAGAATCAGCATTTCCTGTGAGAGCCTCATTTTAATCCATCTGGGCAGGAGATAATTCTAGAACTAAAGTTATTTACTCAAATATAAGGAGGGGATAAGCAAAGTCCTTGGTACTGAAATATGCATTTCTTGGGGAGAAAAAGAAGGCTCCTAAATAAATTCTACCGTTAAGACATCTGTAGGCAGGTGTAATTGTC